CATACCTGAAAGCCTATCGTTTCCAACTAAATAAACTGCTCTAATAAAAGGCATTGCCTCTACACATGGAGCTCTCCTCACCTGAAAGTATTACTGAAGAGTCAGTTTTTATCTACTTTCCTCTTTATTCCTTTATCCTTTTATCACCTCTTAAACCAATAGCAGTACACAGCTGCAAAACTGCAGTCACAATCTCCAAATTTGGACTCAGCTACTTGATTTGTGTAGCAGTGTCCTTATACCCATCCAGTGTTTTATTTGCACATAAAATATTTCAGCAAGGTGTACTCCTTACAGTCCTTTCATTCACATATCACACTGACACAAAGAATTACTGCAGAAGTTAGTTATTTTCAAAATACTTTTGCAAGTGCCCACAAACTTGGCTTTTAATTTTAAAACACTGATTACATATTAACCAACTGCTTTTCTCCATTGCAAATCACAGATTTCTAGAAAAGCTGTACTCCAGCTGAGTTTGTATCTTCACTGCTGCTTCCTGCCCCTTTGCTACCTTACTACCAGACTTCACGTTGTCTTCCAGAAGTGCCTTTTTCTGACATGCTTGATTCTTACCCATTTCTCATCAGTAAAAGTATCAGACATAGAGAAAGAAAACACCTATGGGAAATGGGTTTGCAGACTCAGGAAAATATCACTGCACTGGTTTATACTTTGATATTATCCTCGGAGCTATAGAAGCAAGGACATTTGCCTGGGGTTTTTTTTTTTCCTCCTGTAGTCTAAAATATTGAAGAACTTGTTAGGTCAGCTCCAAAGCACTGAAATGCACCAGTATGTGAGAAGAATTCCACCACCCAGGATATGCAAAACTGTCACACACCCCCCAAAGCATCCCCAGCCCTTTGAAGCCACACCAACACCACAGGAAAAAAAGTATGCTGGTTATAGGTCATATTTTAATCTACGTCATAAGGCTTATTAGATTGGAAAATAAATCACAGGCACTGAGACTACTTATTACTATAAATCAAAAGTAAATTCTGCTGATTTATGTATGAAAATACAACAATGTAAGGGTGTTTCAGAAAAGAAAGGCAGGGCTAGGACTTATTCACAAAGCTCCACTGGAGATAAAAGTGTCATTAAATCATTAAGTGATCTCAGCTGATTTAACATGGTTCAAGTTAGTCCTGCCTCCTGACAGGGATGCAGTTCTCACTAAGGAGAGAAAAAAAGAAATGAGGAAAAGGAACCTCATAACCAGATGCTACATCCAGAGAAAGACTGATTGGGAATATAACTGTATAAACAGAAAAAAAAAAAAAAAAGTGTTTCTGTTACAAAAGCTGCCTTTTAGGTTAGAATTTATCTATCTATGCTGTACTTAAACAACTTTTTTAGGCATGTTTAAAGCCAGTGCTGTAAACTCAAAGATTGTATCTGCAGCACTGAGTGGTATCTACAAAAGCAAGTTCCAGAGCACTGTGCATGCCCAGCCCAGGAAAAGTTCACCTATAAGTATCTAAGTAACCTTCTGCAGGACCAACCACATGTGCAGAGTACAATAATGCAGATTTAATACAGATGGAAATATTTGATGATTAATTATTTATAAAGGCAACTTAATTATTTGCTGAGACATCAACAGGGGAAAAGGAGTTCTCATTCTATATATTCCACCTCTAGTACCAATTTTGCCTGTTTCTTCAGATTAAATTAAATTCTTACCACCTCTGTTGACTGTGACTGACTGATCCCAGAAATGTTGTTGATCTGCAAGTGCAGGGTTATGCTGGAAACTGACAGACCTATCACTGGTCATTTACCAGCATGGCAGATACCTGGCAGGAACAGCACAACCAAGAATTCAAAGGCACACAGGCCTTACTGCACATAATACTTGTTTCTGTAAATGTCAAATGCTGCTTAAGAATTCTTTTATCTCACCCTATCTTCTCTTTGAAAGAAAAGGAAATGTGTAATCAAGTGATAATGTGTTCCTGTGTTTAATGATAGTGATAAACTTACACTCTGGTTTTAGACATCTGGTTGCTCATGAGAAGTTTTGTTAACTGTGAAAATAAACCAGTATAATTTGTAGCACACCCTCTCTCCAAAACTCCTTTGTGCAAGAGATTAAGTAGATGTAAAATCAGAACCCTGAACGAGAAACACAGGAACATGCTGTTCTTTTTAACCATGCTTTTGAGACATTCATTTAGCATTACAAATACCATTCCTACATTTACCTATCAACATTTGAAATGCATATTGCAGTAAATGCTTTTCCCTGGCTGGAAAACACTTGGAACTCTCACAAAATTAGTAAAAGCCTGTGACAAGAAAGGGCTGAGTGCAGATGTCTGTGTCAGATTAAGTTTCCAAGAAAGGGCAATATAGATTTTGTAGAGTTTCAAAGAAAAACCTGTAAGTGTGGCAACACATCACCTCGCAGAACTAACCCCAAACATGTATGTGTTACCATGATGAAAACCTCCTAAGCACCATCTATGAGGGAAGTGTTAGAAGAGTCATACAGTCAGGAAGCTCAAAATATTCCTGATACACATCTAAGAGAGAAAAATTGAATGGTTTCAGCAGTTCTAAGCATGTCCTTTATACTTTGCTAGCACCATCAAAAATACCACTTGTATATTAATATACTCTAGTTACTTGCAGAGTTAGGAAAATCAATAGGTGTTTCTAATGGACTTAGCTTTCTTTAGACCCAAGATCATCAAAGTGTAAATTCAGCCCAAGCATTACAGGTCAGGCTGAAGGGCCTTCTCAGCACGAAGCCTCCCTCAGACAAACATGCAATGCTCAGAAAGGAGCAACAGGTCTGTTGATAGTCACATACCAGATCTGAGTCCCGGCTAGGCAGATGTAACATTATTATAGTGCTCTCACAACGACCGACCATTCTTAAAGCCTTTTGAAAAATTTAAACCTGACATGCAGTCCAGTTCTCCTCTGTAAAAGAAACGCAGGTCTAAAGCGGCGGGAGCTCGCAGCTCCTGCAGCAGCAGCGCGGGGAGGCTGCCGGCAGCAGCCGTGAGGGGAAGCACCTGAGGGGCGGCCCAAAGGCCGAGGCTACGGAGGGCTCGCTCTCATCTCCCGAGCGAGGCCCCTTTGTCAAAGCCCGGCTCGCTGTTCCGGAGCCGCGGGGCGCCGGCACCCGGAGTTCCCCGCCCGAAACACCGTCCCGGGGCTCTGACCAAGCCCTCTGCCAGCCCGGCCGAGCCGAGCTTCCCCTGCTCGCTACCTCCCCTGCCGCCCTACCTGCTCGGCCGCCGGGACTCCCGCAGCCGCGTCACGCAGCACCTGCCTTTTTTTGAGCTCCGACCGTGTCTTTTCCGTCAAGGCAACATCACTTCCCGTACAGCCCGAGGTGGGGGCGGGCCGGGCGGCACCGCCCCGGCGTGTCCCGGCCCCGCCGCGGCCACCTGGGCGGGCTGAGCGCGGCCCGAGGGCAGCACGGCGCGGTGCTCTGCGGCGTTAGCCGGGCCGGCTCTCCAGCCCTTCCCTCCTCACCTCTCTGGAAGATCTCGCGCGGTTAGTAAGAATTAATGAGAGGCAAAACAGGTTTTGCAGCGAAAATCCGCGGTGCCTGGTTAATGCACACCACTGTGCTTTAATGAGCTGTTCCTGCCGCCTGCTGGCTGCCTGCCTTCCCCCGCAAGGGAAGAGTGCTCTTCACTCAGCAGCTTCCCAACAAACGCTTTAAATCCAGCAGTCTCAAGAATTCAGCAAGCAGAGTCTTAAGCTCAGTTGCATCAATAACCTTTCTACCTGCATCTGTTCAGACATCCTCTTTCTTGAGGCTTTTCAAATTCAACTGCCATCTTTATGGACAATTCCAGTCATTATATTTACAAAGGAAGTGCCTTCTAGACCTGAGCTACACCTCTTCAAAATAACCTTTTCAATATTTAGTGGTACTGAAAAGGAAGCTGCTGGAGTCACTGCAGTAATTCAGTGATTTCACTGAACTTTTGTGGCAATATGTAGCATTTCCTTATAAAATCAGAGAAGGGCTTAGGTTGGAAGGGGCCTTAAAGACCATCTAGTGCCAACCCCCTGTGATTGGCAGGGCCACCTTCCACTAAACCAGGCTGCTCAGAGCCCCATCCAGCCTGGCCTTGGACACTTCCAGAGATGGGGCAGCCACAGCTTCTCTGGGCAACCTGTGCCAGCAACTCACCACTCTCACTGTAAAAAATTTCTTCCCAATATCTAATCTAAACCTGCCCTCTTTCAGTTTAAAGCCACTGCCCATGTAATTTCATGTCCAAACTGCATTTACTGCACTCAACTGCACCTCCCAACCTACCTTCTACTGCTATCCTCCCATCTCAGCTTCTATACCACTGCCTCCACCTACAACATTGTTCCTGGCTTAAAATATAGACACACAAACTGGTTTCTTCCCTCATTCTGTCCAAACAAGGTTCGGTGTTAAAACCAAAACCTGGCATAATTTTGTCCCAAGATCTCCTGGGTTTGGTTTCTTTTTAGATTACTGAAGTCTTGAAGTATCTACTGATTTGGTTTCCCCAAGTCTCAGATTCTGCTCTGTCAGACTAACCCACACCTACTCAAAGAGCTATGCTTCCTTCCTGAGCTAATCACTGAGGCTCTTCTCAAGTATAACCCATTTTTCCAGGCAGATTTATGTACTCTAAGATCTACTGTAGCCTCACTCTGTCAGGAATGAAATCTGTGTATAAGCACATGTGGTACGTGTGTTTATGTACATATGGCCAGGTCTGATCATAAGCTACCAAAGCAGGGTGCAGTTCCCTTCTCAGCTACTTGCACAACTGCTTTCCCAATTGAGCTGACGTATTAAGAACTGACACCATGAGAAGCAGAGAAAAATGGTATTTATCACTTGGAGGATCAGATCAGAGGCAATCCAACAAAACCCATGAAGCATAATCACATAGCAGCAGCTTTCTTTTTCGAGTTTCCTGATGTTATTTAAATTTAGAGGTGAAACAGCCCTTCAGACATTCAGAGTGTCATCCATGATTCAACATTCAAGTCCCGAGGTCTGGTACCAAACACGCAGACACGCAGCTGCAGCAGGCGGGCGGCTCCAGCGCGGGGCCGGGCAGCGGAGGCGGCTGGGGCGGGGCGGCCCCGGCAGGTGACGGTCGCGCCGGCTCCGAGCGGCTCCATTGCCCCCGACGGACGGGCCGGGCTGCGAGGCGGTGCCCGGGAACGGCGCCGCACGCCTGCCTCAGGGCCTCTTGTCGGGCGCGGCGTCCGGCGGCGGCGCGGCGGGGCCGTGTGGGGCCGCGGGCGGCTGGAAGAGCGGCCCGTAGATGTAAAGCCCGCTGGCCACGCCGAGCGCCACGGCCACCGCCACGTGCTGCAGCGGCAGCCGCCCCCTCATGCCGGCAGGCGGCTCTGCCACGATCACGGACACGCGTGGGGCGGGCGGGGGCGCAGTGCGGTGCGGCGCGGCCCCGGCTCGGCTTAAGCCCGCGGCCCCAGCGCCCTCACCTGAACGCGGGACGCGGCAGAGCCCCGGCTTCCCGCTGGCTGCAGGCACCGGACGGAAGTACCGACGCTGTCCCGCCTCCCGCGGTCGCGCATGCCCCGGCGGGGGAGGCGGCAGGGGAGCTGCGGGTGCGGATGCCGGAGGCGGTGAGGCTCCGCAAGCGGCGGTCGGTGCTGTACAGCTCGGCCGGGGGAACAGCCGCCCAGCGACGCGCCGGTAAGCGGGGCCGGGCCAGGCGGGGAGGGGCAGGGCCGGGGGGCGGCCCCCGAGGGGCCCGTGACGGACCAGCCTCGCCCCCGCAGGTGCGGCCGCGCCCGCGCCGCTGCTGGTGCTCGCCCTGGCGCTGCGGACGCTCAATTGCTTCCTCGTCCAGACCAGCTTCGTCCCGGACGAGTACTGGCAGTCGCTGGAGGTGGCCCATCGCATGGTCTTCAGATATCCTTCGACTGCCGCGGCCCCGTCGCCCTCTCATCGCCCCCCGCGGTGCCGTGGGCGGGTGAGCGCTCGGGCACGGCTCTCCCCGGCTATCAGGTGTTGGCTTGACAGCAACAAACACCCCACCGCTCTGGCCCGAGGGACAGAAGGTCTCGATCCGGATGGCTCGGGTGAAACTTTTCCTTTCAGTTGGTCATGATCTGTCCTTAATATTCATAATTATGGTTACCTGACTTGGGAATGGACAAGTAGCTTAAGGGGCTACTCGTACCCACTGATCTTTGCAAGCATGTACAAAGCATTACAGCTGCTGGCTAAGGATAATGTTCAGCTGCTGGTGAGTATAATCAAAAAATGTGCATCTGCTACTAAAATTCAATTTTAAAGTATTGTATTTAAACACAGAGTATTTTTATCATTGTCCAAGTAAAATGCTAAGCCTTGAGTCTGGTAATTAGGGATGTGTGAGCAGAGATCCCACTGACTTTCCATGGGGGCAGAACTCATTAATAGATTTCCAGTCACAACACTGATGCCTGCAAGTGCAGAGGTCTCCATCAATCTCTTGGATTTTCATACTGATTGTGTTTGCCACTACATCATAATTGCACAGTATTCCAAAGTGTTTAGCAATGTATATTTGCACTCAACCCACAAGAACTAACTAACAACAGCCCCTTTTGATTTCTGTTGGAGATAGATAATTCTACTTTCCATCTCTGAACACTTTCAGTTGAACTTCAGATAGTCTCTGTTTTGGCAGAAGTACTATCCTTACCCAAGGCCCTTACTATTTCATTTTTAAAATCATAAAAAGCTATAGAGAATACTCACCAGTTCACTATTTGCATACTTGAACAGTCATTCACTAATTCAGTCCTCTCTTAAAACTTGGAATTTAACTTGTTTTGTTGCAAGTACAGTTTTCTCTCTGCTTACACAGATCTGGGTCCCTAGGCTTGCACAGGCAGTGCTGGCTGCTTTTGCTGATGTGAAGCTTTACTCATTAGTGCAACACCTTGAAAATTCAGAAACGGCAAAGTTCGTGGTGAGTCACAGCCTTTACAAAATTATGCATGTTAATAAACACTGGTTTTGCATTGTAAAATAAATGAGTGTAAATAAGTGCAAAATTATATGTCACATGTTGAAGAATTACCACCTTCATTTAGGTGAACTTGTTTTAATGTCTTCTGAATTGTTTTCAGTTCTTCTGCCAACTCTGTTCGTGGTTTACATGGTATTCCTGTACCAGAACTCTAACAAACACCATGGAGACTATTCTTACCATTTTTGCTCTTTCCTACTATCCGATAAAAGGCTCCAAGATGGGGAACAGGTGAGAAACTTTCTCCTAACAGTATTGATAATTTTGATAATTTTTGGGATGAAACCAATCTACTGATATTGTTTAAAATGCTAACTTTTTTCTTAACATCTAAGGCAACCAAAGCCCGCTCATTCATGTAGCAAGAGTTCTGTCTCATGGAAGGAACACTCTAGTATTTCCTCTAAATATTTTTTTAAGATTGTGTTATAGCTGGATGTAAAATAAGCTATTCCCCTCTTTCCTTTTGCAAAGTTTGACTTTATAGGAAGCTTTTATTTTAAACTTTAAAACACTGGAATATACAGTAACTTAGGAAAAGACAACAGAAGCTTTTTGGAGTCAGATATAGGTGAATCTGATAATTTTTGGTTTGGGATGAAACCAATCTACTGATATTGTTTAAAATGCTAACTTTTTTCTTAACATCTAAGGCAACCAAAGCCCGCTCATTCATGTAGCAAGAGTTCTGTCTCATGGAAGGAACACTCTAGTATTTCCTCTAAATATTTTTTTTAGATTGTGTTATAGCTGGACGTAAAATAAGCTATTCCCCTCTTTCCTTTTGCAAAGTTTGACTTTATAGGAAGCTTTTATTTTAAACTTTAAAACACTGGAATATACAGTAACTTAGGAAAAGACAACAGAAGCTTTTTGGAGTCAGATATAGGTGAATTTGTGGACACAAATTTCTTTATCGCTCGCTATTTTAAAGATGGTACCTCTAGTTAGCAACTCCTTTGTAACAAAGCAATTCTAGTTGCAGCCTTCTAAGCAAGAGAGAGTATCTGCACTCAGAGTCAAAGTTACCTGCAGTATGAAAAACTTTTGGCCAGAGAGATGACAGTTGTTGAAATGTCCCTGTCTGCAAAAGAATTGACCAGACCTTTTGATAAGCTGCTGGGTATTTTATGTTTCTTCCTTCTAGTTGTAAGTATTTAGCTTTGGTTGCACTTGCCATTGTTATTCGTCCCACTGCTGTTATCCCATGGATGCCTTTGGTCTTCAGCCATTTTTTGCAAGAACGGAGGAAAGCAGACCTTATCCTACACAACTGCATTCCAGTTGGGTAAGTTCTTTCTCAATTTAAACTGGGACTGTGCACAGCTACATCTTAAGATTGGTTTTATCACTGCAAAGGCAGACAAGCCAAAAAACCTGATATCATGTAAATAAAAAAGAGAATAAATAGAGTCCTTTTGCAGAAGTTTAAGGAAGGGGCATGTTTCCTTTGAACTGTTGTATATGCTGCAAAAAAGCACCAGTAAAGATTTCATGATGGTGAGACATGAGCAGCATTCCAGCTTAATCTGGGATTGTACCAAGGATACCAGGTGATGGCAAGTGGCCATGAGTATGGATAATCTCAAAAATACTAGGAATCAGAGTTTTGACGGCTGGAGAAGATACAAAAGCAGTTCAGGCAATATCAGTGCAACAAACTTTCCATTTTTGCAGATTGGTCACAATAGGAACCTCTTTAATAATTGACCGTGTGTTTTTTGGTGAGGTAAGCTGTTTTAAACTTGACTTATAAGAAGAAGGTTGGGGTTTAGTATTTTAGCATTGATGGATATTTCAGATTTCTCTGACTTCTCTTGTTTCTGTGACAGTGTTTGGCCTGTGATCTCTAAATATATCCTAAGCCACAAACCCTTGAACAATGACTTCTCAGGTATTTCAAATGATGGGCTGTTACATAAAATCAGTGTGCACAGTCTTTAAAAGTTATCAACAAACTACAAACTTAAACACTTCTGTAATTAATTGCTAAATATAGAAAGTCCATGCTGAGTCTTGGTAAAAAAAACCCAATCTAAAATAGGAGTGAAAATGTATTCTATAGGGCCCGTGATGACTGTAATTCAGTGTAGCCGTTGGGTTTGACTGTGGATTTGTGTTTAACTCCTCCTTCTCTCCCAGTGGGTACTGGTTCAGCTGAACTTCTTGAAATTCAACGTGCTGCAGAATTTGGGAACATTTTATGGCTCTCACCCTTGGCACTGGTACTTCACTCAGGGACTCCCAGTTGTCCTGGGTCCCCACCTGCCGTTCTTTATTCACGGCTGTGCGCTGGCACCAAGGCAGTACCGCATCCTTCTGCTGGCAGTGATCTGGACACTGCTGGTGTACAGGTAATCTCTCCTGAGTGGAACTGCTGCCTCTCACTGGTTGTGTTCTTTGCAAAGTTCCTGTCCTCTCCAGAACAAAGCAGCGTAGTATTCAGTTAAATGATAGAAAACTTGAAACTGTTCAAACACTCCAAGAAATGCAATCAGTTATAAAACTGGTTCTAGAATTTTGTGTAATACTGTTTCTTGTATTGTCACAAACATGTACTTTAGAATTGATTAGACCTTTAAAGAATAAAATAATTCATCATGAAATGAAATTTTAAAAAATCAATCACCCAGCAGGTGTTTAACCAAAAATGGAACTAGTTAGAAAATTTGAGTTCACTAGATGCCTGTTAATGAAAACATCATTTCATTTGGTGCTTTACTACATCCCCAGTAAGATGAGAGATTCTTAGACCTCTAAAACTTACTCCATTCACAAGTTTATACACAGCTCTTAACTACCATAAGGCTGTATTTCTCATTGTAAGCTCAGAAGTATAAGAAAAGCTAAGTTTTTTCTAAAGCATCAGAATTAACTGTAGATTAAACAGGAGAGACACTTCCAGACATTAAAAAATAGAGCAAGTAAATAAATACTAAGCAATAAATACCTATATACTATCATAGTAATAGATTACAACAAAACAGTAGCAAGACCAGAAATGCAATTTCTTCTTTCCAACTCAAAACTGGAAGTAGCTTTATTGGTTTAGGACTTTTTTGCCTTCCTTAGTTTTGTAAGAACCCCGCTGATTCCCAAGACATGAGAGTTACAGCAATCCCCAAAAAAGCCCAAAAAGTTGTCATGGGAAATTGTGTATTTTTGTAGTATATATTGTGACTGTTAATTTGCTAGACACAAATGGTCAGTTGAATCTTAGCTTTTCATCCACACTATTTATTGTGTCTTATTACAGAAAACAGATTGGTGAAGTACTGGCTAAATTACATCTAGTTGTCAAAGAATCAGACCACTTAACTGCAGTAGCCAGGAATTTTTAACAGTGCTTGGTTTAAACTGACCAAATAGTCTTAATTTGAATGTACTTATTATGTTCTTCAACAGTGACAGTCTGGATTTTTACTCTTAACTGCTTCAATACCAAAAGCTTCTTAATACATGCACGTGCTCTTCCAGTCCTCTGTGCCCTACAACACATTTTGTCAACAGAACTGCATTTAACTTTCTTGCTGTACTACTGTATGTTTTATTACAGCACACTGAGCCATAAGGAATTCAGGTTCATCTATCCAGTACTGCCATTCTGCATGATTTTTTGTGGTAAGCATTGGTTTCAAATGTCTTGCAACCTTACCTGCATATAATTTTTACCCAAAGAGAGACTGTTAATGGTCATTGTAGGTATTTGATAAAGGATTCTTAGAATTAGCCTAGCCTTTTCTTACAGCCTGTTAAAAAGAGAAAGAAAAAGGATGAGGGAGAGCAAGTAACTGTAGCACAGATAAAGAATCCTTAGCATGGATAAAAGTATTCCTGCAAAAACATGACGATTGTGTGCCTTTTCCCATTATTAGCTCTTTCAAGCGAAGTAGAGAAAAGGGACAGTGATTGGAGATGGGCAAAAAAGTGAAGGAGAATGCTTTTCCAAGGCCAGAAGCTCAAAATTTAATAACAATAAAGGAGTGCTGTAGTTTTCAGCAGTTGGGAGAAAAAGAATAGCACAACCATGCAGACGTAGTTGCCATTTATTCTGGCTCTACGTGGACTTGCATGAATCAGAACACATCAGTAAGTTGCCATATATCATTCATCCAAACTACTGAATGGACTGTTTTGCACTACAAGAATTAAATTTAAAGAGATCAAGCACTGGTTTTGAAATTGTATTTCTGTATTTCAGGAGACAGGCGTGGGCTTAAGATTTACTCTGTTAAATCCAAAAATTAATAGAGCAAAACATTTGAAATTCAAAGCATTTGAATTTCCTTTCAATGAGTAAAGACTCAACACTGTAGTAAAGTATCTCAAAGCAAAGTATTGTTATTGGCTGAGTAATGTTTTGCCACTGTATTAGGGCACTTTCAAAAATGTGTGAATTGTTTATCTCCCAAACTTACTCAAATGTTTCTATAGGATATTCTTTGAGATACCTGAAAGCATGGAAGAAAACTGCAGCAAGTTTCCTGCTGTTATCCAATTTAGTCCCAGCCCTGTACACAGGCTTGGTTCACCAGCGGGGCACTCTGGATGTTATGAGTCACATCCAGCAGCTCTGCAATCACTCTCAGCAGTCCCAAGCTTTTGTCTTCATCCTGATGCCGTGCCACTCGACCCCATTTTACAGGTATTAAAAGTGTCAACAGTGCACTACATTAAAATCCAAACTCTTAATCAGAAATCAAGACTTCTTTTTTCCAGGGCTTAATAAATTGAGATATATAAATGTATACAGGAAGAGTTTTTGTTTTTCATACAGTTAATACAGAGTGAATAGGGGACATAAGCCAAATGCTTATAACACAGAATAAAATTCAGCATCTAAGCTTTACTCATTTTTGTGAAATAGCTTTGTATAAGGATATGCAGTAAGCCTAATGACTTCACTAAGTATGTCACACTTCTTCATTATGATAACATGTTTTTGCAAAATTAAACACTAATTGTTACAATCAAAATGTATTAATTTTACTTCTGCTGCTAGGCAGTAAAGAAATGTCATTACAACAGTGATTTAGGTCATTGCAAAAGGTTTTCAGTAGATCCTGGCAAGTAAACAAAATGTTAAAGCAGATATAAATATTGAAGCTGATACGGAAAAATACCTTTTTAAGAAACTGCTGTTGTGCAAATGGTATTTTTACTAAGATAAATGTATTTTCTGTTAACTGCTAACAACACAGTCCCAGCAGTTTGGAGCTGAGTCTGCTTGCTCTGCTTTCATATGAAGTATTGAAGGGAGGAAAATACTACTCTGAGGAAAAAAAATTAATTGATTTTTGTTTTGACTGAGGTGTCTTTTGAAGTGATGAGTCATTTCAAATCTCTGATTCTTGTCAGTTTATCATGAAATACGTTTTTGTTTTTCTCCCTAGTCATGTTCACTGTCCTCTAAAAATGAGATTCCTTCAGTGTCCCCCAAACCTAACTGGCAATGCGAGCTACGTTGATGAAGCAGATGTGTTTTACTCTAACCCACTTGGCTGGCTGAATAAGGAGTTCTACAATGACACGTTATTACCCACTCACTTAATCCTCTTCAATGTGCTAGAACAGGTATGGTAACTGCAAGATGAAACAAACTACTTCTGAGCACAAGTTACAAGATAAATTAGGGAAGAGTTATAGTTGAAGTTTTTGAAAATTGTTGTTCACAACTTTTTAAAACATAGCTTATATTAAAACTGACCCCTCTAGCCCATAATAAGATCATTGATATCATTCCACTGCTATAATGTTCATGTATGCCCTCTCCTCTGTGCAAATTCAGGCCACAAAGTAATGTTTATGGAATTCTTCTCAATCCATGTTAAAACAAATGTGCCATCTGTTCCCAGAAACTGCACTTTTAAGTAAGCAACATTGAAAACTAAGAACACCTGCAGTCAGAGTACCTTTTAACCCCTCAAATCTTTAATGAAGCCCATGCACTCAAACAATGATGGCTGATGAATATCTGCTCTAGACAGGATCAAACAGGATAGGTACTTCTTTTTCTAGCAGGCTTTCCTAAAATAAAGGATAAAGCTTCCCAGGGACAGCTGAACTGATGGTTGTCAAGAGACTTTGGAACACTATTCTTAGGCTCCCAGCTGTGTTTTCTTACTGTGGCAATTAATGTGTGTTCATTTGCAGGAAATATCATCATTTCTTGCTTTAAGGGGCTATGAGAAAACAGCCACTGTTTTTCATACTCATGTACCTCAAGGACGAGTTGGAAGCCACATCTCCATCTACAGGAGAAAAACTGAAATTAATTATCCCTGAAGATCAGGCTGGACCTCGGACCTAATGAGATCAGTTTTGCATATCAGTAGCTATGCTTACACCTGGTACTGCAGAAAGGAGAAAGCAGTGAGTCTGAAACTGGGGGAGCCAGTGGGAAGTCCCATGAGGCAGCCAGTGGCTGCCTGCAAACACATAAACCTCCTCCTGAAGGCAGCTTCAGTAGCAGTAGGGCAGGGTGGGGCTGCTGACCTACCTTACAACACTAGAAAACATTGGGAAGACCAAAATTACCATATGAGTACTAAAGCAATAAAATACAGACAAGACTGGACCGTTTTTATAGAACTGTACAGCTGTGCTGAGTTTCTTTTATAAATAAAGACTTTTACCCACAATGTCTCTTTTATTTTTCTTCTACAATATGCAGATATGCAAGACATTTCAAGTGTTTAAATCAGCACGCTGATTAGAATGCAGCACAGCAAATTCTTCACAATTCAACAGGCTTTTGAACCCCCCCAAAGACAGGAAGCAAATATAAGGTTACAAAACACTAACAAATACATTACCACAATGTTGATCTATTTTTTGAAGGATGAGATGAAGTTAGTATATCAAACATTGGAGTTAGTAGTTGGTACATTATGCATGGCTCAAGCTTTAACTACACTAATGGAATGCAATTAAGCATTTTTTCATACACAGGTCATGGCATGCCTAGTTTCTGCAACAATACTGCTGGCACCCAAACTATCTTTACTTCCAAAGGACAGTTAAAGCAACGGTACAGAATATGCAAATCAGAAAGCCTGACTTCTGCCTGTTAACAAAAATGTGTAAAAATCAAATTATTCAGAAAAAAAACCCTTGCATTTTGCTGCTTTGTTGAAAAACAATTAGTTTCCAGAGAGCATGTGAATTTTAATCTTAATTTTTACAATAAATTACTCAGTATTTTGGATCGAAGGGTAGTTGCCCCAATTCTATTTCAAGATTTGCCATGTGTCTTCCATTAGTGCGACCATGTTTATGCCATTTACCTTCTCTTTTATTACGGTGTTGGTACTTCTGAGCTTGTTTTTCATGTCTGGAATTTTCACTTTGTGTAAAAGGTCTTTTAGGTCGACTGCAAGGAGTAAACAAAAGCTTATTACTACTAAAAGCATTTTGTAACACAATTACATTTTCAAGTACAGCTTTTAACATGCTGAGGTTCATTGAAAACAAAATTAGTAGTAAGTAGTCCTTTAGCTTGTAAGAAAAATGGGGGAGGCATTTTTTGTTTAAATCATCAATAAGATGGTATATATAAAAGAAATGCTTTCTAAAAAATGCAGCTGGTATCACAAGCTTCTGTATAACAGTATCAGTAAAAGAATTTGGAATTGTTTTTCTGCAAACTGAAATTCTCACAAATTAGGTATTTAATTTAAAAATAAAGTTCATTTGATAATAAATGAGGAAGATGGACTACAAATAAAATCATAAACCTTGTGTTTGCCAAAACCATGTTAACTGGGTACCTGATAATAGGACTATCACCCTCACGGTTCAGCTTTCAATAGGAGAAAGTGCTACCTCACGTAATACTTAGTAACCCCAAAGTAGTTAATAGTTCAGACTTGCAGCTGCAGTAAAGTACATTAAATGATAAATAATACAAGTGTAAATTTGTAAAGCCCTGAGAACACCTTTAGATCCAGGAAAGGAATGTAGGAAACAACAGACACTAAGGACCATTATGAGCAAGTCTGAACAAAACTTAGTCAGGGTCAGGATCTGAACTGAAGCCTGCTGTGTGATGGGCTCTGCTCTGGGCATACAGACTAACCCAGTATTAGACTAATCTGCAGGAGAGTAGTGAAATGTATGTGCCAGAACAGGACTCAGAGACACCCTAAATGTAGTCAAAAACCTCATTCAGCAAAGGACGAAAAGGAAGCTCCAGTTAATGCTCCAAGACAGTTCCTCATTGCATCAGATGGGCCATCAGAGCTGTTTGGTCTAAACAAATCCTACTGCCAGTTACAGTTTTCTAAAGAACCCAGCAGAAACATCAGATTGTGCTAAGCACACACACAAAATTTATATAAAGGCTCTACAGATCCACTTTATATAACATAATCTAGTATTTCCACTAAGTCCTTCAGAAAGTCTAGCATATGTGTGTGTGTGTATATGTATACACACACACACATACATACACATACTTGCTCAAAGACCATCCATTACAGCAAGGACATTGGTTTTCTTTAAAAAGAACACTTCCTTGTGTTATCAAGTACAGGAAACATGGAAACAAACCTGGGTCCATACTGGGGTGAATTATCATAATGGAAGTAGTATCTGTAGACGTATTTGTCCAAATCCTCAAAAACCTTCTCATTATTACTTTGGTATTCCTTCATATCTTCCAGGTAATCCTTGACATCATTAACAAAATCAGTGAACAGCATCTGGTCATGTATAAACAATCCATTATGAAAAAACTTATTGATGAAATTTTCTAGTTCTCTCCAGTGATGAAAGTTATGTACAACTTGCTGCAAATACTTTCTCATTAGCCGATTAAATTCATCCACCCTGATGGGATCCGAAACTCTGTTAAAGAGACTAATGAATTCTTGATGAGCACATTCAAAAATACCAGAGCAGCCCTTTAGGGCAAACTGATGTTTCCTATTACACAAATGATCATTGAGACATTTCTGGGAATCTGAATCTTTTTCATATGTTGTAAAATGATGTTTCCTTCCATTTCTGGATTCTTTTGGCATGTGAGGTCCCCTGTAATGCATGTGCTTCAGATTCTCATAGGAGTTATGGTCTCGGTAAAAAGTTCGAGCTTTCTTGTTTGCCTCATATCTTTTATCGCTTGATGACTTCTCTTTTTCATCAAAGATGTTTTTTGTGGTATCTTTGAAGTGTCTGAATGTAGACTTTACAGAATCAGAGAATTTTTTCAAGTTTTCTTTCACTGCTTCTTTAGCCTGCTTAATCTTTTCTTTATGGTGTCTTACAAACTCTTTTGTGGAATTTTTCATTGCATCAAAAGTTTCTTTAACTGAACCAAAAAACGTCTCCTTTGATTTCTTTCTACTCTTACTTTGCCCTTTAGCACTTTTCTTTTGTCCATTTTCATTAATTTCTTGTTTTTCAGATTGGTCTTTTGCTTCAACATACAGCTTCTCCCATAAGTCAGAGCGTTGTTGCTCAAAGTTTAGCTTCTTTTCTAGTTCTGCCAGTCTTCCTCGCAGAGTTTCTATTTCTTGATTTTCTCTTAATGTCTCATCATCATCATCAGCAGCACTGTCAGGTGTATGACGAGAACTTAACTGTTCTAGTTCCTTTTTCAGAGCTTCTGTAACATGACGTTCTTTGTCCAGTTCTCGCCTGAGCATCTGTGCCTCTGCAAAGAGTGTTTCCTTTTGCCTGAGAAAATTGCTGTTCCTTTGCTTTTCCTCTTCCAAATGCTCCCTTAGTTTCTGATTTTCTATTACAATAGATTCAGTGCTACTACCTTTATCTTCTAAGTTTCTAATTTGTTGTCTTAGCTTCCTTAATTCTTCCTGAAGTGAGGCCAAAGCCTTTTCTTCTTTCTCTAGAGATTCTCTTAGATGCTGATTTTCTGCAGCAAGACTTTTTTTTTGAGAATCAAAGGATTTCTTCTCCACCTCAGTAAAGGTCAAACATGTGGCAAGATCTCCCTTGAGTGACTAAAAGAAACAAAAAGAAAACAAGCAGAAATACTACAATGAGAATTGTTACAATTTTAGCTAGAAATATGAAAAACCAAGGTAGCCCAAATTCAGCTTACTTGTCATTTTTAATGCAATGAAACATGTGCAGCAAGATGCAAAAATAGAGCTGGTTTGTTTATCTCAGTTGGGTTTGTTTATCACACACTTTCTTGGCAACAAAGACCATGTGAGAAACTCTCTCAGCCAGCCAGAGGTCATCACCCTTCACTTGTAGTGGTTTAACTAGCTAAAGAATAGTCAGTTGGGTACCTGAACTCTAATATCTTAAAAGGAAATCAAAATGTGCATCTTTGCTGTTGATTTATGTTCAGCCAACTGGATTTACAGATTACCAAAAAAATTAGCAGAAGCAAAGGCATTTAGCTGTTGGGGCAGAAATTCACGAACTGATTTTGAACCAAATCTGAAAATACCTGTTTGTGTAACTATATACTAACACAAAAGGAGTTTCCCAGTCTGCTGGCATCACTGACAAGCTCTAGAACATACTGAATTATGTACAAATGCTGCTAACAGACACATAAAAGAAAATCTAAAAAAAAACCCACTCCCTAATCTTCTCTCTGGATGATGCAACAGTAAAAAACAGACGTATGGCTTAAGTATTTAAAAAATTAATAACTACTGATAATTTAGAAAGCAAATTCACAAAACCTGTAGGTTCAACATGTTTTTACAAGCATTTTCTACTTCAGCTGTCCTCATTAATGACAACTGGGCACTGTATCACAGGGAAACAGTCTCTGTGTCCAGATAACTCCTAGACTACAGACAAAAAACCCAGCATGTTTAAACATTCCAAGAGCAAATTCAATCAACATAAACATTTGTCAAGAATTCAGGGGAAAGCCCTCTGGAATAACTTACTAAAGACAAAAATTTAATGGATTTCTGTGAGAAATTCATTTCACTTTGAGCAAAATACCCACATAACAACAGAATTATGCAATGACTTCCAGCTAAGCTCACACCTACCCCCACTTTGTGGTGCACTTGATCTCCTTGCTCTTGTTGGCACTGGTAAAGGTCATCTTTCAGATCTTTTATTTCACGTGTCTTTGTCACCAGCTGCTGCCGTTTCTGGACCTGCACTGTACCTACAAAGATAAAAAAGTTTCTTTTGATATACTACCTTAGAGTAAGCAGTTAGAGGAACAGAGGAACCTAAACATCTTCTTCATTCTCTCTGCAAATTCAAAAGCATTCTTACCTTGTCATTTCAGCCCCGTCCTTACCACTAACTGTTTAGCTGTAGCAAAATTGTTTCTTTCAATGATAAACCATTTCTCAGACTCAAAAATTTGCTTCTACACTGTTTTTTCATTAATAACAAATAAAGGAATTTTGGAACACTACATAGAAATAAGTTAGATCCAAACCAATAAGTTACGCAGGAAAGAGTATTTGTGACCTCTCTCTAAGTTTTTTAGTAACATGCAAGTCAAACAGGATAAAAGGGAGACTGCTGGTCCATGCATTATCCATTTCAGAACTACAACCTTGACTGTTAATTGAATTACATTAATAAGAGGGTATAAGCACAGTGTTTAAATTTTCATGCAGAAATACAATTATTACACACTGCTCACAAAGCAGCAAGTATTGCAGGCCCTGTCTTGTCCTTCTTATCCATAAGCAAAGGCTGCAGAGTAAGCAAGTGTCCTGTTTTTCAATTGTCAGACAAAGGCTGAGACACTCTTGTTTTCAGAAAAAGTATCTTGGCTGTACTAGCCACCAAATTTTTTTTGTCAAGAACAGCTTTTTGACTGGTACCTCCTCACCTAACACATGTTCTCTAAATCCTAACACTGATGTAGTTTTTATATATTTGCTTTTACAATTCTCTTGAATTGACTCTAGAGAAGAAGGCAACAGCATTTTTAGGTATTTCTTTCCAAACCAATGCACCATAATCAGAGCTCTATTTCTGTATTTAAAGGCAGAAGGAGGTGTATTGTTAAAATGAAAAAATACTCTAAGTACACTTACATTGATGAATGTTTTGTGCTCTCTTCTTTTTTATCTATTGTCAATCTAAGTGTGACCTTAAAAAATGACTGTTATATTCAACCAAGTTGAACTATAATAGTTCAATTCAGCTAAGTGAAGGCAACATTTTTACAGCAATGATTTTAAGTCTGCAGAGTCCTACTAAACACTTCTTGAGAGCATAGATCCTTTCATAACTGAATTTATGTATATTGACAGTAAATTTGGTTTTAATATTTATCTTTTAAAGATACTTTTGAGAAAGTCCATCAATCCTAACAATCTAAAGCCTGCATCTCAAAAATCATCATTTAGCATAAAGGGTTTACAGAAAAACACTTAAAGCTCTCTTTCTCTCCTTATCAAAAATCCTGATTTAAGTACAGTAAGCAGAAATTACATTTAGCAACACTAAAAATGAACATATTGAATTGCCATTCCTCAGTAATTGGTTTGTGTTTCCAGCTGGTACTCTAAGTGACAGTATCCTTCAGATTCTTTAAGTAACCAATCCAAATCCCTAGCATTATAGCTATAGCCCCCCTTGCAGTTTCTGGTTAAAGAAAAAAATTCAATATCTGAATGTCCATAAGGAGACCTTTTTTTCTGGCAAAGACCTTCTACCTAATTTAAGCTTCACCTGCTACCTGAAAAGTCTGCCTTCTTTCAGTTCTCCTTCCTAGAGCATCATAAAACCAGTTAATTCAATTTAATATTGATTAGGATACAGTTGTTGATTAAAACCTATTAATAATCTAATCTGGTTGCTTTCTACATCTCTGAAAGCCTTAAGGGGGTCCTAGAGGTCTAGCTAAAAGGAAAACACTATCCTGATATTGATCCAAAAAAAGAAAAGTAATTTTATAAAAAGTTATGCTTTCCAATCCTCTTACATGACAATTAGCCTAACATTAGAAGACTGCTGTGGGAAACGTTCCTTCCAAGCTGAACCACAAAAATACAAAGTAGTCCTCTAGGGAGATGGATTCTCCCTGCAAGTTTGTTTAGGGAAAAAAAAAAAAAAAAAAAAAAAAAAAAAAAAAAAAAAAAAAAAAAACCAAAAACTAAAAAACAGAGAANAAAAACAAAAAAAAAAAAAAAAAACACCAAAAGCTTAAAACCAGGAAGATGGAAGCAGAACTTAATTTCCTTTCTAGTGCTAGAAAGATAAGTTATCACATAACTTATCATGAAGAACTTTCACCTGAAGACGCAAAAACTGAAGCTACACAGAGCTGCCTTCCTTCTGCTGAAAAATGCTGCCATCACTGTCACCAATGATGACAATTTTTATTTAGCAGTACAGATTCAATGAATGAACAAGTGAATTCCTTAAAAAATGCATTACCCTGAGTCCACGTTCACAGTGTATCTTTCATCTACAGTTCTCCAAGTTCTTTAAAAAGATAGTATTTATCATTAACACCAAACTAAACACAGTGAAGTGATTAACAACTGAAATCTCAAGTTCCCCCACAAGCACTATCACAGACTGGTGTGGTCATTGTGCTCCTCTATGCCTCCAGCATGCCAGTGCTCACCAAGCAGTTTTCACACCAGTTACTACTACATGAAATGTGTCTGTATGATTGGATTAGTTGTTCCTATAATCCCACGTACATCAGCAATTCCTGAGACTTGATTTAATGTTTTATTTTCACAATGTAAGTATGCACACATATATGGATGTGTGTGTACACATACACACGCATGGTTTAGAAAGTAAATCTGAGAGCAAGCACAGCATCCACAGTACATCACTCAAGGCTCTTACCTTCAGGTTTACCTAAGAATAAAAAAGATTTGGGATCAAGTGAAAATTAATACAAATCTCAAAAGAAGCAACAAAATTGAAATCCCTAACAATTAGTCAACACCAAATCCAAAGAGAATGACAGCCCCATCCCCAACTGAATCACGTGTCTTTTTAGAAAGGCATATTTTCATATAAAACTAGAGCTACTCAGGAAAAATCACTATTTACCCCATTACTGTATGAAGTAGTGTATATTACAAACAGTTGCACTGCTGAAGGATCTGCCTGTATTACCACTACAGCTGCAGCTGCTTTCTCTCATCTTTAGGTTTAGGTTGTTAGCAGAGAACAAGAAAAAACATCGCAGTCACAATAAAGCAGCATTTGCCACACGAGATGTGGACTCTGGGCGCTCTGCTTTCCCTGAACTCACCGTAGAAGTGTCCGAAGCCCATGCTGATGGCGATCACCAGCGCCAGGATGATGCATCTGTTGAGGCCGCTGCTGAACTGGCGCTGGCGCTGCTCGTCGCGGGGCGGCTCCGCCTCGGGCTCGGCCGGGGCCGCCCCCTCGGGCTCGGAGCCGGACACGCCGCGCTTCCGCGGGCGCCGCTTGCGCACGGCCGGGCTGCTCCGGCTGCTGCTTTCATCGCTGCTGGACTCCTCGGGGCTGGCCTGAGAGGAGAACACTGAAAAGCAACATACGGCCGTGGTTAAAATGCGTTCTGTGGTAAAGAGCAACCTGAGTATTAAGATCCGTAATATTTATGCAAAATAGATTTGGCGTTTAGCTTTGAGAACATTAACAAAACAAAATTAAAATTCTAATGATAAAGTTTGTGCTGGAAATTATGCAAGGAATGTGTGCTCTCCAAATTTAAAATTTAATATTTTTTTAAACTAAATAATAGAGAATCAAGAAATCATCACTAAAAAGCTGTATGGCACTTCTCCATACCTTATCATTCACTCATTACAAAGTGTTTCAGTCAGTCCTGCCTCCTAAACCATCTACATGTACTGCCCCTAGAAATTCATGTGAAGTAGAAACATGAAGAATTTAGTTTTCCTTCTCTTGCAGCTATTAAAACTGAAATACTTAATAATGAAAGAGCAATACATAATGAAAGACTTGCTATAAGAAGGCCTCCTAGAAGACAGACACGGTTTTGTTACATACCCTCAAAAAATTTAATTCTGTGATCTGCATGCAACTGCAGAAAAAATTCCATTACAGTTCCATTAATGTAGATATTAGAAATATTCAAAATCAAGATATAAATGTATTTAAATATGCAATTTTTATTACTTTTAATATCTACCATATACTATCTGTTAACATCTTTACCCACCCTTCAAAAAAAGCCATTTTCAACCACTACTGCACAGGAAAAAATCTACTCAAGTGCTTTTCTGTTTGTTCTTTCCCAACACTTCTATTACCTGACTGAAGTTTTGGTAAATGGGACAAGATTTGAGATAAAAATAAATTCTAACCTTAAAAAAATACCTTTTATAGAATTTTTGCAAAATTATATATTTGTATGTTCACGTTCTAATGGCCCAAAAGCCACATATTCTAACCAGGAAAATAACAACAGAGCTGTAATTGCTTGTTCCCATTTGTACAAATGTTTGCTGCATATACTGTAAATAGATTTATATAATCCAGTATATAAGTAATTACTATTTAATCTCCCTCCTTTAAAAGCGTAACTTTCAAGTGCAAGGTAAATACCAAGGGGAAGCAGTAGTAGGTGGGAAACTAGCTTTCAAGTGTCTATATTCTGTACCTAATTCCCACGTCTGGAATAATTTCAATGGGATCAGTGAAATCTCTAGCCATGGCAAAGTGCTCCTGCTTGGACACTAATTTTGCTGCTCACAGTCCCACAATGCTAACGCCCCTCCTAGAAATATGGTTGCTCATTCTCTTATCAGACGTCATTACTCAGAATGTAAAAGTACAAATATAGAAAGGCCGTCCTTGAACAGTTCACAACTGAAAAATCATTTGTTTGAGCAAAGCCATGCACACACCACTGAACAGACAAGAATACCAAGCAGTGCTAGCTACTATCTATAAAATGCACTACCACTTAAGATTCTTCACTTAAAATAAATTACAACTTGAAAGAAGTGATTGCGTCAAGCTCAGGAAAGATTATCAATTAGTATCTGGAACACTTCTAGGCCCATGGACAAGAAACATGACAGATTATGAAAGATAACTTCCTCCCTTAATAAAAAGCTCCATTTTAGTAAATCAGTCAAACCAGACCAACCAAGCAGACTTTGTAATAAAGACAGATCATTTAAACAGTGACTCGGACATGCAGACACTTATGCAGCTTAGTAGAGAAGGACACAATTTTAGACCCAGTCATTTAAGCAGATGCCTACTTCCCAATCCTGGAAAACAAACATTCAGAATGCATTCCTAGAATACAGAGGTCAGACATTATAGAGAAACATACAGGACAAACTTAGTAAGAGGTGTTTTTCTTGCTCATCTGTGGGGCTTTTTAGGATTTTTCAACAACCAAAGAAGCTTACACACATGGAAAATGAAAGTGGTTGAGGAAAAAGCTGCTTCTAGCCAAATGGGAAAATTCTTTGATACACACTGGACAGCAAAGAATAGGAAAGGAGAAAAAAAAAAAGACAATCAGAAAGAAAAATGCTGTAAGATAGTTAGAGCCATTCATAAGCACTTACTGCCAAGTTGTCAACAGCAATTACACTTCCAGGCAAGAATGACACTGCCTTACAGCTGCTGTAAGAATTCAGTACAAAGCTGTGCTCTAACAGTATCAGGATGGAAAGGACTACAAATGAAACAAAGTGTGACCACAATAGCAGTCCAAAATCCTAGTTTCTACTGTGATTTTGAAGTGTCAGATCTATACCAGAAATCAGATTAAGTCAGTTGACATTGCTGCACAGACACAGCAGCATATAGGTACTTCTGCTGGCTGAACTTCATTCATGAAGCAATATTAAAACATTTCTGTTTACGTGGTGAAGACAGCCTAAAAAGGAATTGGTTTGCAAAAAGAAGTGGCAGAAAATCCTTGTAGAATGCTTTAGTATCTACATTAGGAAGAATCTGAGGCTCATCCTTTTGCAACACAAAAGAACACTCAACAGGAAGTGGATGGCAAAGATTTCTGTTGCCACTTTTTGTCACCTCTAAAACTTCAGCATTTAAAATACTTGGAAAAGTACTCCTGACATTTGCTGCAATACTTGATCAATTGAATGCACAGCACTGAAGGCCATGCTGAAATCAGCTTATGTTAGAAGGAAGAAATTATTTTTGCCAGTCACATGTAGGCTTGGAATCCAACAAGAACTATCCATTGAAACAATCAAGCACACACATTCAAATGTATTACAAACCTTACTGATGTCTGCTCCAAACCTACATGCAAGGTTAACATCTTTTTAAAGAAGCACATAAGACACTGAGAGCTTAGCCAAGTTCTCCAGTGAGGATTGGCTTTCAGCATCTGTACGAAAAGATCAAGTCAGCTTGCTATCAAAAATTGTAAGAACACTCCATGCAAGCCTTAAGCAATCAGCTTTGCACAAGCTGATCAAATTTAATCACACCACCTTGAAAAGGAAGACTGCGAGATACATGCTCTTTCACCTCATTTCCCCATCCCCTTACACAACCAGGAATCTTCCACAGCTTCTCCAGCCAAGTGACTTTTGTGTACAAAAACACAGGGGAAAAAAAAAAAAGACACTTTTAGAACTCATCCCTAGAATTAAAAAACAAAGTCAACTAAATCTTAATTTAAAAATTAAGTCAGATTCCCCAGAAGACTTAAAGAAGGTGACAGCTTTGTTACAAATCTTCACTGATTATAATTAGATCTTAAGCTGTCACTTTCTGTTTCCAGTGGATACGATGCAGATACATTAACATTTAATGATGCTGTATCCTACTCTAGGATAAAACAGTATTTTAGGTAAAATCCTTCTTGTATAATAAACTTAAGTTGAAAGATAAAAATCAGCAATGCAAAGGTGTCATAGAGAAGAAAAAGAACAAGAGATTACAAACAAGCAGTCAAAAAGAATTATAGAGGAAGACTAGAGAACTAGAGAACAGCAACAAAACAGGAAGTCTTTGGTTTGGATTTTTTGGGGTTATTTTGTGGTTCTTCACTGGACAAATATTCATCCCCTTCCTCCTGATTATAATGCACAGCTTATTTCAGCCAAGCACTGGGAGTATCTTAAATACATAAATATACACTACATAGCTATGACAAAGCTTTTGTAGTCATACTGCTTAGTCCTCATGGCACCAAAAATCCTCTCCCACTTGCTAGTCATTTATGCCAATTCTATATAAAGCCCAAAATATTGCCAAGAGAAAACCTACAGTTATTCTGTGAACTAAAAGTAATTTTAATTCTCCAAGATATGCTACAAATTAACATTCCACTTAAAACAGTAAACACTTAATGAGAGAGATTGCTTTCAAATAAAAAGATTGCAGACACACATTTAGACAAAATTGCAGAGCACACCTAGAGTTTTTCTAGAGACTGCAAATACTTGGATATGTACTCAACAAAATTATTATTTTTTTCCTCTCTCCACAAAAAGTGGGCTCCCTAACCAAAGACTGGTTTTTTCCCTGGTGACACTTTTGCACACAGTTGCTTAGGACTGTATTGCTCTTACCAGTTTCTACATGGGAAAATGCATATTGACTGCTAGAGGAGGAACCCATGTTAAAGTCCTCTGAACTCTGAGCTTCTTCACCATCAGCTGGAGCTTCCTCCTGACTCTGAGTTTCTTCTGGTTTTGGAGCTTCAAGTGTAACGATGTCAGAATCATCACTAATAGTTCCAATGCAGGACCCATCATCAGGAACTTTTTCTTTATTTCCCTAGGGAAAGGGACAATGTGAGAATTATTCAGACACAAAAAACATGAAGTAATTAAAACAAACAAACAAATAACCAAAAATTGTTGGAACTTCAGGAAAGGAAAAATGAGTGTCTTTATTTTAATGCCTTCAAAACATTTCTTGACATTGACAGAAGGGGCTTAGAGAAGCTTCTGAATAATATAGTCTGTAATGTAATTTACCTCTGGAACTGTCTGAGTTTCCACAAAACCAGATAGAGTATTATCTACTGCTGGGATCTCTTCATCGTGGCTGCACTGATCTGTATGAATAAAAAGAGGAAATAAACAAGCAAACAAACATGGGATTAAAAGCAGCAACCATAAATTATGCCCATACCCATATAATATTAAAATAGAGTGTCATAATGTCATTTTTTACGAGTACAAGCATTGATGGCTCCTTCCAAATTATTCTTATTTGATCTATGACATTACTAGGGAATACTTCTTTTATCAATAACACTTCTAAAAACTATCTTACAGCAACACTAGTGCACATTATTAGAACACATCTAAAGTATGAACAAAATTAAAGACATTCTATTAATTTTACACATTTCAGGAAAAAATACTTTTATAATAAAAGTCAATGATTGAATATTTTCCATAACACTGGTGAAGCAAATACCCTGACAGAGATCCACTAAGCACATAAAAATCTATTGAAAATACTGATTTTGTGTCAATGCTACAACAAATATTGACCTATTTAATGAAACTGCTCCTCTTTTAATATCTTACCTTGCACATCAATTGCCTGCTCCTCTTCTTGCAAAGAAACATATTCTTCTGAAACAAACTCATGGTTGTCATTCGTGCTTCCATTTTCTGAGGTGACTGTCTCTATGTCAGAACCCTGAAGATGAAGAGTTTAAATGGACATTACAATTACTGGGGTTTCCAATAGTAAAGTAGGAAGAAAGGGTTACAAAGAAAACAGAATATTAGTAATAAAAACAGAAACAGAAAAACTGAGCCTTTAAAACTGAAGACAACTTTGAGCAAAGAAAAGCAAGTGAAATACCAACAAATCAACTAGTGTGAAACAAGTATTAGTGTGTAATACTCAAGAGCAAGGTTAAAAAAAGTAAGATGAGGACAATTCTAAAATGACAGCAATTTAGGCATTAATTAACACCTACACTGAGTATTTTAAATAGCTATTTTTATTATCTTTGTTAGACCTGTTTATTAAATGGAATTTAAAGAAATAGAGGTTTTGAATGTGGGATCTAATTCTTGCTCCCAGGTCCATCTATTGTATGCAAATACACACACCCTCCCAAAAATGGAACTTTCAAGCACATCAACACAAGCTCCAATAAATACTGCTACCAGAAAAAACTATGTATAACTTTACTCCATCTCAATTTCCCTGAGAAATTTTGAAAGGCTGCTTATATAGTACACCTCTGACACCTCAAAAACAAATATTTATACAAACTCTATATTGGATTTCTGTCTTTAATCCAGAAAGGAGCCTTCGTTACCAGTCAGCTGCCAGGCAGCAACAACACCAGAGCACAACAGGAACTGCAAATAAAAAACACCAGGAGACTGCAGAGTACTAAAGTCAAGCAATATGCTTGACAATTCCAAATATTTAACTTTTATATTGAAATTTTTGTTTAAAAGTACTGATGAGACACCAGTAAGGTTATCAGCAAACTACAAACACGCAAAACATAACTGAAAAAATACTAAGTCACTCTGATCCATAAATAAGTTGAGCTGTTTTTGTAAACAGAGATAGTTATTTTTGCAACAGCAGGTGTGAAATTACAGTAGCAGCAATACTTCCAGATCAGTTTCCCTGGATGCCTCATTTCAGGACTCAAGCAAACCTGTATGCTTTTGTTTTTACAGAGCCTGTACTTCAGGAAGATTAGACACCGCAAAAAAAGAATTGCATAAGATAACTTTGTAACATTATTATAGAATGTATGTTTCTTTTTTAAAGGCTTCAAAAATTAACTGCTTTGGTAAACTGTTAAACACTGTGTATCTTTTTTTTCTTTTTTTAAACACTTTGTATCTTTTATCCTTTTGACTACAAAAGTATCACAACTTTGATGTGTTTTGAAGAAATTCACCTCTCATATTTACTATAATTTTAGTGAAATCTCAGGAAAGAAAATATGAAGTTATTTGTGGGTTTTGGGTTGGTTGGGTTTTATAGATAGGTATACAGGTTTATTATGTGATAATTGTTCTCTGGTGTGACAGAACCACTATGTTCATTTCTGAAATTGTGAATAAGAAGAACAACAACATTTCAGTTTGCCCAGGCTCCACAAGAAGAAAAACATCAGGAATATTGTTTAAAACAGATTGTGATTTTAGCTAAAAACCCAAGATAACGGGCTGGCTGAGTACATGGTAAGCCATCCTTTTCTTAAAAACACACAGGTGGGAATGCATGATCCATTTCATCTAATGCTGGACCTTCATCACTCTTCATCTCAGCAACAGCAAAGAGGTCAAGAAAAGATATTGTCACCTCCCTACCCTCCTACACAAAATTAGCAAGTCCTTTCTCAGGGGCAGTCCAGCAAGGCAGAGCACTGCTTCTCTGTCCAAAGCTCACACTCAGTGCAGGACACACAGCTGCCAGCTCCCTGCAGCCACAGCCTGACGACAGCCACCTCCTGCCCCTCAACTCACTGCAAAACGTGTCCACAAACAGATTCCACTGTGTCATCAGCAATACAGGTCACAACAGTATGTGAGAAAATCATACTTCAGTACTCCAAATTTGTCTAACCCACCATTCTAGGCCTGTACTAAATATCCAAATCAATTCACTGCACTATACAGAAGTTCACATCCCCCCCTCCCTGTGTAATAGCTGTGTGAAGGGTACCTGGCCATCCCATCCATTCTGCTTTCTTTATGCTCATATTCAAAGCTGTCCTACCAGAAGAATGCTAGTAATGGCAGCTCTCAAACACCAGTGTTGCCCCATTTTTATTTCACTGAAACAGGGATGAATAACTGGGAACACAAAATCTCCATGTCACAGAAATCTGTTCTGCTTTGACTAGACAAATCCCAGCCATCCTACAATCTTGTGTTATGTAAACTTATTTAGACTGAATAATTCATTTGCAGTTACAGTGTAAAATAACCATCCCAAGAATGACAATAAAGTATGCACTTCACAGCTGAATAACTCAACTGCTGAACTCAACCTCTAAATCCTTTTACTTTTATCTGTGAGTCCAGCAGCCTGTTACACTCCTGTAGCCCACTTGGCCTTGAGGAATGGAGTGCATGAGTTTTCTGTTTCTTTTGGTGACAAGATTCCCAACCTGTCATCCAGCCCAAAACAAGGAAAAGAAGTTTTAACCACCTCTCAAATACCACTTTGCTGCCAACAGAAATGAAAGCACAGCCCAATATTTATAAACTTCAAACTGTATCACTTGTGACACGGAACTGTCAAAACATGAGTGCAATCACAAGTTGTAATAGCTTGGTTCCAAGTTACCCATTTTCATTATAATCTGCAAAACAGGGGTGTGTGCAATGAAGAACAGATGAACACTGTGCATGATCTTCAGCCATTTTTTCCTACTTTCCTCCTCTGAATGAAACATCTCAAGTACAGGTCCTTGAATTTTTTTCTGAGGAAGACAATGAGTAGATGCAGGCAATATCTAAGCGTCATTCCAGGAAAACTGTCAACCCATCTGTCCTGGGGATTCTGGCTCAATGGCCTCCTCAGTTTACAAGACAATGCTAAATACATAAGAACCAAACCAAACAAGCAAATCAACCCACCCCTCCTACACTCACGCATCAGCCAAGATCTGCAGAGATCCAGAAATCCTAAGGACTAAAGGAGGAAAGGATACTGGATACCCAGACTACCAGGAAGGGCTTCTCAGAGGTTCTGAGCAACTCAGGCCTGCCTTGTCCACTGTAGGAAGGCAAGATAAAACACTTTTCTTATCTACATTCACATGTCTGCACCTGAGCAGGTGTTGAAGGCACCATGTCAACCAGCGCAGTCAGTGCAGTCATTTGATCAAACCTAAGAGCTGACCTTGCCGTGAGACTCCTGCTCTCCAGACTCCACTGACAGCACTGATTTCATCCACACAATGCAAACTTTGAAACCAACATCAGAGCCAGACACCTGTCCCATGACAGTGGTGGAAAACACACTTGTCCCTATTTTAATTTTCTATAAGGGAGACTATGTAAGGACAGAGGGCTGTTCCTGAACAGCCACTGCTGAAATTAGCATCAGATACCTTAGTGGTAGAAAAAACTTGGGAAAATCATGGAATCATTCCCTTCTGCACAAGATATTTTTCCTGCCCAGTATTCCCAGCTTTCTTTGTTTTGGTGAGGGTAAAGATTTATCAGGAGGACAAAAAATACACCAGCAACGACAGACAAGTTACATAGAATGCTAATGTTTTCAGGCAGGGTGGAACAGCAGAATGCATGCCACTAAAATTCTACCAGCTCTTCAAAGTAAAACCTTTGCACAAAAAGAAATTCATTTAAATATCAAAATTTGTATCAACTACAGTAAAGGTATACATTTTTTTAAATAGTAGTTTCATGATTTACTTCTAAATTGCTCTTCTGTATTCTCTGTTGGTATGCAAGATGCACACAAAACAAGAATTAAACTGAAATAGTATTTTACTGCATACAGATAGCCTTAAACTGAGAGAACTTTACCAATGTGAAACTGGGTACCTCGTGATTGATGACAGTCCAGCCGCAAGATGAATCACTGTCACTGGAATTTTCAGACATTTTCAAAGCACACTGCAGGTAAAAGTAGACTCTTTTAATATGCAAGACACACAATTTCACAGCTCTATTGGAAAAAAAAATAAACAGAAGAATGGAAATCACGATGTTACAGAAGAATACATTAACACAAAAAATGCTATTCTGGAATTGAGGAAAAAAAAAACAGAATAACAGTTGAGAAAGAAAATATATTCTTTTGTATTTATTTCCTACTACCTTCTTTATACTTGGAGCAAATATAGCTTTGCTAAGCACATACTTATTTCAGCCAGCCAAAAAGCTCTTAGGCTAGACACACACACACAAAGCTAGTCAATAAATTAATAATTAAAGTTAAAATTTGTTGAAAGCATCATTGTTTAAGATATTAAATAATTTCTGCTTTGCTACACGCACAGAAACTACAGTTTATTCAAGAAAAACACTGAGGTTTTTTTTTTGAGAATAAACAGATTAGGATCTTTTGAAACTAATTTTCTTCAACTCCTGGGCAAAACCAATGTTTCCTGTTTCTTTCACTCCTTTCAAGTACTCTCAAATACACTGATTCTGAGGAAAATTGAGAGCACCTGGCAACTACAAAAACAGAACGAAAATAACCCAAAGTATAATTTTTCTTTTTTAAATATTACCAGATGACTGGTAGCTACTTTCAGAAGAGAACTGTCCAACTGGAGCTGCCTGTATGTCTTTTCTCCTTTTTAACAGGAATTTACCAGGAATACAGAGTATTCATTAACACCATATTCAGATCAATTTTTCAAGTCCTTAACTAGCAAAAAGACTTTATAAAGAAGTTTAAAACATTCTTTGTTCCTTGAAAAAAAATACTGAGTTTTCATATAAAATTTATTATGGATTCATCTTGGTGGCAAAAATATTCCCAAAACGGAACAATTTCCAATCAATTGCCTGTTATATTATGCATCAACATAATAAAACAGCCAATGAAATCATGTTCAATAAAGCTTTTATCACAGAATTTAAGACACCTGCTTTATTTCCCACTCTGAGTTAATTCCAGTAAGAACACAGAGGAAAGCATCTGTGTATTTAAATTTATTTGCTCTCTACTTTATTATCAATCCTGTCTTCACTCCTGGTTTCTCAACACAGAAATTATACATAAGACTTTGAATGACAACATCTAAGTACATCAGTGTGGCTTGAAACTGGCACAACAAAATATAAAACCTCCAATTCCATTTAGGTTTCTCACAAAACACAGTAAACATTTGTCTCATATCTCTGCATTATGGTAGTTACTGCATGTTTTTCTAAGATAAAACTATTTTCTCATCAACTTCTACTAACATATTTACAGTTCTTTTGTAAAAAAAAAAGGCAATGGTGGCAATCATAACAACAGTTTAAGCACAAATATTCACTAACAATCAACTTAGGTATGAAACTTAGAGAAAAACTGAATTTCTGGTTTTTTTATAAAGCCCTACTTTGAATATGGTTGTCATTTTCCTGTAGATATTTTCCTTCCTTCATTAGTGCTTTTCCTGGAATCTCTACCACAGAATGTCAGGTTGGGAGGGGGTGGGAAGAAATCTATTTTGGTTTGAGTTGTTTGGGTTTTTTTAAATCACACTGCATACAAGGATTAATTTTTTAAAAGACTTTATAAAGAAGTTTAAAAGATTCTTTGTTCCTTGAAAAAAAAATACTGAGTTTTCATATAAAATTTATTATGGATTCATCTTGGTGGCAAAAATATTCCAAAACTGAACAATTTCCAATCAATTGCCTGTTATATTATGCATCAACATAATAAAACAGCCAATGAAATCATGTTCAATAAAGCTTTTATCACAGAATTTAAGACACCTGCTTTATTTCCCACTCTGAGTTAATTCCAGTAAGAACACAGAGGAAAGCATCTGTGTATTTAAATTTATTTGCTCTCTACTTTATTATCAAACCTGTCTTCACTCCTGGTTTCTCAACACAGAAATTATACATAATACTTTGAATGACAACATCTAAGTACATCAGTGTGGCTTGAAACTGGCACAACAAAATATAAAACCTCCAATTCCATTTAGGTTTCTCACAAAAATGTTTCTCACAGTAAACATTTGTCTCATATTTCTGCATTATGGTAGTTACTGCATGTTTTTCTAAGATAAAACTATTTTCTCATCAACTTCTACTAACATATTTACAGTTCTTTTGTAAAAAAAAAAGGCAATGGTGGCAATCATAACAACAGTTTAAGCACAAATATTCACTAACAATCAACTTAGGTATGAAACTTAGAGAGAACCTGAATTTCTGGTTTTTTTATAAAGCCCTACTTTGAATATGGTTGTCATTTTCCTGTAGATATTTTCCTTCCTTCATTAGTGCTTTTCCTGGAATCTCTACCACAGAATGTCAGGTTGGGAGGGGGTGGGAAGAAATCTATTTTGGTTTGAGTTGTTTGGGTTTTTTTAAATCACACTGCATACAAGGATCAATTTTTTTTTAATTGTGACTTATTTTTAAATCATACTTCTTCAATCATCAAAATAACAAATGCCCAAATGGCAAAGACTAAGTTCTAGAGTTGACATGTGACAACAACATCTGCTTGCTGTCATTAATTACTCTAAATTTGACCAGGCAGCAGCAGCAGCAGCATTCCTCTCACAGGAAGGTAACTCCCAGCACCAGAACTCATCACCTGGCAGAATTACCCCTGGCTGCCTTGCAAAATCTGAAGTGAATTCTTAAAAGACAACTTCAGGTCACCAGTACAGTTTGACACCAGTGCATCTTCAGATTTTGAAATCCTGAATTGTCACAGCAGACTCTGTGCTGGACATTGCAACATCTCTGTTCCTCCAGCTAACTCAGCATTTCACCCCGGACCTGGTGAACACGACAGAAACACCATCCTCCTCTCCCTCTCCTGCCAAAAACACACTGACAGGTAACTGCAGAAACCCAAAGGCATCTTCTGTTCTGAACATACAACCATGGCTTTGGGCTCCACATAAACACCTGTCTTCCTATCCCAAACAAAAACTTCAGGACCTCCCTGGGTACCGACATCACTAAAATATATTAAATAAACAAACAGAGAAACAAGCAGACAAACAATCATTTCCTATTGCTCGCTCCTCTTGATAAAATGGTCTTGAGTTAGAAGTTATTTATTTGCATTCAACCAGAATACTACACTAATAGTGTACACACTAATATATAGTATAATATATATATAACTAATATAGACTATATATATACCATAGTATACTATATATAAGATATATATTATATACTATAATATATACATAACTAATATATACTATATTAGTGTAATAGTACAATAATAGTTTACTATTGTATTAATAATACAACAATATTTACCTGCATACAGGTGACAAACCACCAAAATAGAAAATATTTTTATATTCGTATTTTAATTAATATTTTAAAATAGTAAATATGTAAATATTAATAAAAAATAATGGAATTTTAAAATATAATAATCAGAAGAACACTAAGGTTTATGTTTAGAACTGCTAAATTGAGCCAAATTACAACAGATAAATAGCTTGGCATCAGACTGAAGGGCATCTCTAGGGTAAATGTATTCCTACAGGTATATTCAGCAAACATACACATGTAAAACAGTCACCAAAATTAAAGCACTTTATTACTCAGTGACATCTAAAAGATCAAAAAGACCTACAAGCTTTAATAAAAAAATTACCCAGGTACAGTGTTCCTAAACTTCAACCATCAGCTAAACAGCTTATTTCTGTAACAGATTAATAAAATGCACATAATCATAACTAAATTTGAGGTCAAATTCAAACCCCTAAGTACACTGAAAAAAAAGAAGACTAATTTGAACCCAATGGCTAAACTGACCCACTCACAAAATCTTCTCTAGTTTGATTCTCCAGCAAATGACAAAGACCCAAAGAACCAATATGCTTCTCCAACCAGCCTAAAGGGGCTGGAAATGCTGCCACTGTCTTACTGAATGCAACTTAAACAAAAAAAAAAAAAAAAAAGCTTTGAGGAGGAATTAAAAAGAGATAAAGCCTTCAAACTTCCTACTGAATCAAGATGACACTAATGGGTTCTAGTCCAATAACAGCAGGGATAACTGGAAGATGCACTAGGGTTTTACACATCTCCTGTATGCCAGGCCAAGCCAGAAGGGAAGAGTGGGGAAAAAACCCAACCAAAACTAATCCCGTGGTGCACTGGTTTTGTATGCTCACCATGGATCTTCATTACCACTTTTGACATCACCTTCTTAATTTCTGTCTGGACAAATTAAAAACCCATTATGCTCAGAGTTCAATCTGTATGTATTTGGGGAAGGTGGGCAGGAACTGAGAAGAATTAACTATTTTCTTATCCTTAGTGAAATGTAAAGCAGAAGCATAAGGTGGAAAAGCTTACAACCATATGTATTGTTGATAACACAATACCAAGTTATCCCAGATATGTATATAAAAATAAATCTGAGCTACCACATCCTATTTATCCACTGTGAAGCAAAATAAATACCAGTCTTAAACAGAAGAATCACTCCAATCTAAATAAACCCTTAAGCTCAGTCATCTAAAAAAGGGATTTCCTAGACTAAAAAATTAACCTTCAATAAGCATTGACAAAGATGAGTAATGGACACCAAGAGGAAAAGGAATGTGTTCTACAAAGTTTGCTATGCTGTCATTCCAAGTAAAAACTCTCAGCTCTCTTTTACAATTGATTCTTTGTTGCACCGCAGAAATTAAAACAGGTTCAGTGCTATTACACTTCACTATTCCCATGGAAGTTTGTTATTTCTACAAAGTGGTAATTTCTTCCCCCAAGTAACATTCTTCTCCAAGAATATATTTAGCAACCCATATTGAATATAGAATATCTCCTTGCTACGAAGGAAAGACAAAGGTGTTTTCTCCGAGCCAGACTCCCGCAAGGCTGGCCATTCCCGGCTCAGTCCCCTGTACCGCGCAGGTGTTCCTGGAGCGCACCTGAAGCAGAGCGCGGCTCGGCGCCAGCGCAGTTAAAGCGCCAGGACGCTGTTTATGAAACAGAGCACCTTGCATC